ACATTTTTTTTCTGAATCTGACATTGTAGCATGGTATAGACAATTCGTGTTTGCAGTTTGAGGAACACCTGCTTGCATCTGATGATTTCCTTTAGCTAACCAATGAATGTTTGCGTTATATGACTCATCCAACTACACTAGTTTTCACTAGATGTGGATGGTGCCAATGATCTGCATTGGATGGCGCACATGACGTGAAATAAATATTTTTAAACATTAAACTGAAGCCAAGAGTAACAATTGACGTTTGTTTTAAAAATGTAACGAATAGAAAGTACAAATACTTGTGTGAAAATGTAATGAGTAGAAGTCCGAAGTAGGAAGAAAAATAAGTAATTTCAGTAAAGTATAGACTCCTAAAATGTGTACTTAAGTACAGTAGCGAAGTATTTGTACTTCGCTACTTGACACCTCTGTATTTTACTTACCTTTACTTTCTCTTTTTTTTTCTCTCTAAAACAAACAAAAATAATTAACAGAATTTCCGAAATCCTAACCACTCCCTTCTGCTTTGAACTTAAATTTATTATTTTGCCGGTGCATTACATAAGAAAATTTACGCAATGCTGAAAAACTTATATAATTTTGGGTCTAAGGACATTTTAACACTTGTTTGAAATGTTCTTGAGTTTGTCTGACACATTGGCTATTTGGCCATGGTTAAAAACAGTTTTTTTTTGTAATTATGTGCAGGTTTATAACTATGTACTGTAACAACCTAACTGTTCAGATTTTTCTCTCCCATTTTGAAATATAGTGAGATGACAATATGCACAGCCATCCAAAAATAGTTATTCCCTATAGAAGGTAAATGAGGAATATTTAAAAAAACTAGCTTTTAGTGTTTCAACTACAGTGGGCGCTGGTTGGGAATGGACACTTCACTCACGCTCCGCGTGTTTCACATATTGTGTGAAAAACATGTGACTACTATAGCCACTAGGTGGCAGTCTGAGTCCATTTTGGCGCCCCATGAGTCAGGATTAGATAGATCAAGTAGCAGACTGGGAGGTTGTCACATGTTGTGAGCTTATAGCGTAGGGGTTAAGCTGAGTGGTCTGTGGTTCAACAGATTGTGGGTTCGATCCCAACTGTGGCCAAGTTGCCCAATATGTTTTTTTTTTTTTGTATTATTATTATCGCTTTATTATAAAGTAATGAAAGTTAGAATGTAAAGTAATGAAACCAGGTTTTCTATTTTTGAAACAACAATTGGAGTTATTCGTTGGATATTCACGCATGAGCCTCCCATGTATAAAGGGAGGAGCTGAGCAGCTCCTTTAGTCAGAGACTTACAGTAGACACCCTGTCTGTAAGAAGGAGCGCTACCGCAGGTCATTCGTTCCTGCTGCCACCAGACTCTATAATAATGCACTATATCAACAATAACTCCTGTAAAATGTGTCTGTCTCGCTGTCAGCTCCCAGATCAGCTTCTCTGATTGATGCGGCGCTTCCAGCATAATGGGCATATTGTTATACTATTTTTTATTTATTTTAGTTATTTTTATTATCATCTAGCTGGTAAAATTTTCAGTTTGATCTGGAAAAGGACGCTATGATTCCTTACAACAAGCATGAAAGGCCCAACCCCCCAGGCTTTTTGGGCACATTATGCAAGAATGCTGCTTGCTGCCGCGATAAATAGCGGCGTTTCTACAGTAAACTGTTGTCAGTGATGGCTGTGACCCACCCAAAAGTCAGTGAGCTAATCCGTAGTATTTCCATTTTAAATACAGTGAACCCTCGTTTATCGTGGAGGTTACGTTCCAAAAAGAACCCGCGATAGGTGAAATACGTGAAGGAGAAACCTTTTTTTTTTTTTTAGAGTTATCATACGATGAAATACTCCTTACAACATTGAAATCAGGGAATAAAAACTTTATACAGGCCCAAGCATTTGTTTAACAAATAAAAGTTCGGTATAAATGTTAACTACTGTACTGTACTGTAAAATAATATACTTATAAATACTTTTAATCATCAATACAAAATAAAGGGTTAATATTGCGGGGATCAGCACCGCCCCGCTGTGATGGATTGGATTTCTCTGCCAAAGCCTGCGGTGCAGCTGTGTGTTTTGGAGAGAAGAACATATTTATGTGATCAACGCGCAAATCAGTGAGCTAATCCGGTTTATTCCCATTTTAAATCATGATCTAAATAATTAAATAAATATATACATGTTCAATAAATAAATAAGCATTCAATTAATTACCCCCAATAAATGGTGAAATGATATGTTCTTATAATAAATCATTTATTTAAAAAATGCTGTTATGTTCCTTTTTTGTAAAATTGCTTTTAAAATGCTTAACTGTTTTTATTCTTTTTTTTTCTTTCAAAAAATCACTAGATTTTGAAAACACTCATAGGTTTTGAAAGGTATTATATATATATAGAAACTTAAACGCTCGGATATTTCTTTCTGTCATTTTGTGTGCGTGTGTGGCATCTGCAATGTTTATGTTAAATATTCAAATAAATAAAATGGACTTTAAACTAGCAGACACGTTTGGATTTTTGCCATTTAATTTTTTTATTTAATTTTAAAAACGAAAGATATGGAAATGGGGTTTTTATGTCATGATCTTGGCGCTGATGGTTTGGTTTTTTCCTTTGCTCCTTGGTCCTGCGGTTCTAAGTTGTGTGTTTGCCTCCCATCAGCGCCAGGTTATTTGTGTGTTTTGGTGAGACGTTTCCTAGCTTTCTTTAGTCTCTCTGCTTCCCTGATTATGACCAGTTTTCTGTCCTGTGGATCAGCTGCGTCTGCTGCTCGCTCTCTAGAAACTCTGGGGGCGTGGCCGCCGCAACTGCTGCTCAAATCTCCCTTCTGGATTCTGCTGAGGTTCTCCGCGAATGGACTGAACTTTGAATCAAGTCAGTGACTTTGCTCCAAGTCGCATTCAGCTCCATATCCAGTCTCTGGCCTGTATTCTCCTATCCATGCAGAGATCAGCCCCGCAGCAGACGAGCAGCCCTGCGCACCTGTTTTGATTTATAAACGCTTTGAACTTTCCCACTGCCTGTCTCGCCTTGGATTCTGGGTCCAATATTCTGAGATCATTACAGAATAACCTGGCAGTGGCGAAATGATGTGGATCAAAGTATTTCCCAGCTAGAATCAGGCATGCAGGAGATCCTTGATTATTAATCAGGCTACTCCAGCTGCCCCGCCCCTGACAGCTGCCGCGCCGTCGTCTGCTACTGATAGTCCAGCTTCTCTTGAACCACGTCTGTCCCCTCCTGAAGCGTTTAAAGGGGATCCTGATCAATGCAGAGCTGCCCCGCAGCAGACGAGCAGCCCCGCGCACCTGTTGGTGTTTAATAAACGTTTTGAACTTTCCCACTGCCTGTCTCGCCTTGAATTCTGGGTCCAATATTCTGACATCATTACATTTTACAGGTTTGCTTAAAAAGATTTATATAGTAGCCCATAATATAATAGTGAAACATAAAGTCAGGAAAATGTCTCATAGAAAATGTTTTTTATTTGCATTTCAAATCAATATATTACTGATAGCAAATGACATGTATCTCTTGGCCCTGGGAATATTACATGCCAGTTTATGCTCCATTCAAGGCTATGACCTCATCAATGTCTTGGAAAAACCGATGTGTAGACATTTACCCTCTTGTTCTCTGACAATAGAGTTCGAGCACCGCTATAGTAGTAGCGGCATTCCTGCATTAAGTGGTTTGCTTAATTAATTGGTGATGTTTAAAACAGGATGACATACAAAAGAGGAACCCATTATATCCAGATTACGTTCTGGTCATACGTGGTTAAATAGTACATGATTTAAAATGGGAATAAACCGGATTAGCTCACTGACTTGCGCGTTGATCACATAACTATGTTCTTCTCTCCAAAACACACAGCTGCACCGCAGGCTTTGGAAGAGAAATCCAATCCATCACAGCGGGGCGGTGCTGATCCCCGCAATATTAACCCTTTATTTCGTATTGATGATTAAAAGTATTTATAAGTATATTATTTTACAGTACAGTACAGTAGTTAACATTTATACCGTACTTTTATTTGTTAAACAAATGCTTGGGCCTGTATAAAGTTTTTATTCCCTGATTTCAATGTTGTATGGAGTATTTCATCGTATGATAACTCTAAAAAAAAAAAAAGGTTTCTCCTTCACGTATTTCACCTATCGCGGGTTCTTTTTGGAACGTAACCTCCGCGATAAACGAGGGTTCACTGTATTTAAAATGGAAATACTCCGGATTAGCTCACTGATTTTTGGGTGGGTCAGAGCCATCCCTGACAACAGTTTACTGTAGAAACTCCGCTATTCATCGCGGCAGCAAGCAGCATTCTTGCATAATGTGCCCAAAAAGCCTGGGGGGTTGGGCCTTTCATGCTTGTTGTAAGGCATCATAGCGTCCTTTTCCAGATCAAACTGAAAATTTTACCAGCTAGATGATAATAAAAATAACAAAAATAAATAAAAAATAGTATAACAATATGCCCATTATGCTGGAAGCGCCGCATTAATCAGAGAAGCTGATCTGGGAGCTGACAGCGAGACAGACACATTTTACAGGAGTTATTGTTGATATAATGCATTATTATAGAGTCTGGTGGCAGCAGGAACAAATGACCTGCGGTAGCGCTCCTTCTTACAGACAGGGTGTCTACTGTAAGTCTCTGACTAAAGGAGCTGCTCAGCTCCTCCCTTTATACATGGGAGGCTCATGCGTGAATGTCCAACGAATAACTCCAATTGTTGTTTCAAAAATAGAAAACCTGGTTTCATTACTTTACATTCTAACTTTCATTACTTTATAAAAAAGCGATAAAAAAAAAACATTTAAGGCAACTCAGCCACAGTTGGGATTGAACCCGCAATCTGTTGAACCACAGACCACTCAGCTTAATCTCTACGCTATAAGCTCACAACACGTGACACCCTCCCGTATGTCACGTATAGAGCTTTGGAGTGTGACGTCACTTCCCTAGTAGGAGGAGCACCGGCACCATCTTAGGGGTCCACAAAGGTAACTGGCAAAAGCAATATCTCGACATTCTCGCAGATTTTTAGAATCTAAGTTAGCAATGGTTCGAACTTGCTGTGTTATTGGGTGTAATGTTAGGTCACGCGACCGCAGCTGTACAAAGATAGAAAATGGACTTTCATTTTACACTTTTCCTGCCTGGAAACAACGCGAGGGGGCTAAGGTATCTGAGCTAACAAAAAGGCGACGAATGGCCTGGGTATCAGCGGTAAGACGTTCTGATATTACCTTCTCCAACATCTCAAGAAACCTACGAGTTTGCTCCAGACATTTCCATTCTGGTGAGTGTCTAAATTCGCTTTGTTTTTATGTCATTATTTTTTTGCTATGATTTTTTCCCGGGTGTACTTGTGTTCAGTTTATGTCGAGTTAAGTAGATCAGGCTAATATAAGTAGCGAGTTTTGTTAGTGGACATCGGGGTTATTCCACTATTGTCAAGTAAACTATTTAAGTTTTCTAGTGTTATAATTCACAGTATTAAGACTGATGTGTGTTCCGATTTGTTCTCTTAAAGGCAAGCCGTCATACGAAATGGATGAGCTCAATCCAGACTGGGTTCCAACGCTAAATATGGGTCACTGCGAGATAAACGCCACAACATCGGACCGACATGTGCGTTGTTTAAAGAGGCGATACAGCAGCGCAGTTGAAGGCCAGGCAGCAAAGACCATGGTAGAAAAACAAGAACCGGAGCAAGTTACAGAGATTGCATCAGAAACACCAGAAGAGGTCAAACAAAACACAGTAGTTGAGGCAATGGAAGAGGAGCGAGTTCGAGAGGCTGTGGAGGAAACCCCAGGAGAGGAGCTCAGCAAGGCTGCAGACTCTGACGAGGAACATGATTTAGCATCAAAAAGGCAACAAATCGAATGTCACTTGTGTGAAGAGAGAAGAGAAGAAATAAATCGTTTGTTACAGGAGAACAGGAAGCTCAGGTCAGAGCTGAATAAAAAACAGCTGGACACAGATTTTTTTAAGGATGACACAAAAAAAGTAAAATATTATACAGGACTTCCTTGCTTTGTCATTTTATTATCATTGTTTAACACTATTAGGCCTTTTCTGTCAGAATCAAAAAAGATTTCACAGTTTCAAATGGTTGTACTTACACTAATGCGTCTAAGACTTGATTTACCTGTTCTGCATCTTTGCCATCTTTTCAGTGTGTCACACAAAACTCTGTCGACTGTCTTTGCTGACACCCTTGATGTGTTGTATGCACGCCTTAAGCCCATGGTAAGCTGGCCTGAGAGGCATTGTTTACAAGCCACAATGCCTCCTCAGTTTTTGGAAACATTTGGAAAACGTGTAGCAATTATTGTTGATTGTTTTGAATTAGGCACAGAAAGACCCTCAAATTTAAAAGCACGTGCACAATCCTTCTCCCGGTACAAAGGAAGACACACTATGAAATACCTTATTGGTATAACACCACATGGGTCGATTTCTTTTATTTCTAAGGGATGGGGTGGACGTACTTCAGACAAGCACATTACAGAAAACTGTGGCCTTCTCTCCAATTTATTACCTGGAGACATTGTGTTAGCAGACAGAGGCTTTGATATTAAGGACAGTGTAGGAATGATGTGTGCTGAGGTCAAGATGCCATCATTCACTAAAGGGAGATGTCAACTGGATGCTAAAGATGTCGAAGACTCGCAAGCTATAGCTCACCTCAGAATTCATGTGGAAAGAGTGATTGGCTGCATGAGGAACAAATACAAACTGTTACACAGAACTATACCAATTAGGTTGCTGCTTACATGTGAGGGTGAAGAGGTGACACTTCTTGACAAGATTGTGTTTGTGTGCTGCTGCTTAGTGAACATGTGTTCTAGTGTGGTTGTGAAACCTAATGAAAATGAAACCTGTACATGTGAATATGAAACCCCAATGCTTGACTGATATTAATTAAAATGCAGATTGAAAAAAGATTTTCTGCATTTATTCTTTTGGCATATTTGTAGGGTTAGTACTGTTTTTATGTAAAATGTAGATAGAAAAAAACTAAATTGTATTTGTACAGATAGCACTGTTGTGTAAAATAATATAGTGAAAAAGAAATTTGTATTTGTTCCATTCATGATTTTCTATGGAAATGTGTTGATTTGAATAATAACATGGAAGGGATTGTTTTCTCTCATTTAATAAATTGATCTGGTAAACATTAATAAGACTTTTTATTCAAGCACTTGAAGTTCCATGTAAACAGTTGATGAATTTCATAACAGTCTTCATAACAGTCATAACAGTAAAATTTGAAAACATTTAATATACATGAAGTAGATTAGATTTTTAGATAAACATTTTTTGATTAAATACTTATATAATCAAACATTTAGCAGTAAACAATATGACCAAATGAAAGAGCCCATATTTAAACATTCAACGTGTATTCAGAGTGAAAAAAATATGAAATAGTCACATAAATATTAGTCTTATTGGACATTTTTCAGTGGAAATGTGTAGATTTGAATAACAACATGAAAGAAATTGTTTTCTCTCATTTAATAAATTGATCTGGTAAACATTGATAAGACTATTGATTCAAGCAATTGAAGTTGCATGTAAACAGTTGATGAACTTAACAGTCTAAGTAAAATTTGAAAAAAATTAATATAATATACATGAAGTAGATTAGATTTTTAGATAAACATTTTTTGATTAAATACTTATATAATCTGACATTTAGCGGTAAACAATGTAAACAATATGACCAAATGAAAGAGCCCATATTTAAACATTCAACATGTATTCAGAGTGAAAAATAATATGAAATAGTCACATTATAAATATTAGTCTTATTGGACATTTTTCAGTGGAAATGTAACATGTAAGTGAACATTACAGGTAACAAATCTGCCAACCATCAGAGAAAAATTGCTAGAGAAAAAAAGTGCAAATATTAGTCTAGCAGAATGATTTACATGCTTCTTGACAAGATTGTTGGACTATGTCTCCCTTGAAGCTGGAGTACAGGTGTGCTCTGAGAAATATCTACCAACAAGTTCTGGAAGGCAAATGTTTTTAAAGAAACTTTGTGCTTTTTGTAGACGGGGTTCCCAGAATTCCTGATCTGGAAAGACACGGACAACAGCCATGTCTTTCTGGGTCCACACAACAAGGTCACAGTGGTTTGATTTTGTCACAAAAATCTCAGTTTGTACCTGTGTATAGTATGGATGATTTTTCTTCGGGAGAAGTTCACTGCCAGACAGCTGAAGGCAAAAGTTTTTGTCGTTTGCATCCACTGCCTCCTGGATGCAGGATGTCCTGTATTTATAAGGACACTTTATCTCCAGGCAGCCATTACCACAGCAGTCACATGTTGTGAGTCCATCAGGAGAAGCTCCAAGTTCAGGGAAGTCAGTGTTTATGATGAAACCACACTTTTTAACTTTTAGATTTTTGTGACAAGCTCTTAATTTAATGTAGGCCCTTTGTGCATCAACCTCATGATTCACACCCCATTTTGTTTGTACAGTAGACATGGTGTTGCCTGGGTTGCACACCTGTTTTACAACTGTAAGCGCTGGGCTTTCCAAACTGGTGGCAAATACAGCGTGCATAGAGGATGCTGTAATTCGTCCAGCTCGACATTCATACCAGGCAGAACACTTGTGCTGCAGTCTTGTGTGCTTTTCAATAGCTTCTGCCTGCTCATCAGTCACTATTGCAGCATTTTTGTATTTTTCACAGCACAGCAAAAGAGTTGACAAATCATCGGAGTGGCTGTTTTTGTTGTACAGAGAGGATAGTGACAGAGGTAACTTAACTGACTGCTCTTCTGTGTGTGTGAATAATGTGTAATACTTCTCCATTCCTGACAAACCAACAGCTTTGGCATGCTCTAATAGCGTGTCAAGCAGAGGATCCAAATCTTCCAGATTTGCATGTGGGATTTTTCTTTTTTGCGGACGGCTTCTTCTGGCTGGTGTTGAGACTTCAGCAAGGATATTTTGGTCAAGTATCTTTTTTTGAGAAGCTGAAGTACTATAGTCAATTTTATGGCCAACTTCTGCGTGAATCTTCTTCAGATTGCCAGGTAATATCCAGTAGGCTGGCTCATCTGTAACAGTTTTTGTGCCTCGTATCCTCACTGTTGCTTCCACCTTAAAAAGTAGGGCACCTATATGGGTGCAGGTCTCTGCTACCCCTGCCATGCAAGTGCAATGTGCACACTCAACAGTGCCAGTGTTGCTCAGCATGACCCACGGTGTTAACGGTGGCTCACAGAGTCTCTGAGAGTGCATAACCTGCAAACACACAATTGAAATGAATGAACATTATTTATTATACATTATTATTTATTTATTATGAATGAACATTAGTTATTTGCACTTTTTATAACTATTTTCTTTCATTGTAAATGTGTAAATGACAGGTTAATTATCTGAGTCTTTGTTGTGGGAAAATTTATATTCTCTCATTATATATTAATATTCATATTTACTCACTATAAAAGTTTTCACTCAGTCTGTTTCTCTCTCAAGGCCACACCATTCCCTGCAGAATGTTGTTTGTAGACCAGACATAGCTTCTTCCCATAACAATCCAGATTCTTTCTCAAGGTTTATTCATAACATGTTACTGTTAAGCAAAGAGTGTGTAATTTGTTATGACTCTGACTGCTTTCCATTGTTGTCACTAGGGGGGGACAAAGCCCTGCCCAGATCAGAACAGAGCAGAATGCTGTGCCATGACGACTATTCTCTCTTTGCAAAGATGATAAATAAATGTGCCGACTGAGTGAAATCCATCGATCTCCGTTTATTTACTAGGATGAATAGTTGAATACTTTTTCCCACGACAGTCTTTCTATCTTGTTATTAGACGGGCTCAAAGGAATTAAAAATGCAGTGGAATTGCTGTAATTTAATTCAAACTTGGCACTTCGCAAATCAATTAGTACTTTAATAATAACGTGTTCACACTTTATAGTACTCATACCAAGAAACATTCTGTTTGACTGTAAAATAATGTACTTTAAGAATGTACATAAAATGAAGGAGCTCAGAACTTACCTTTGTTCGAACCACAACGTATTCACAATCAGGTGGGGTAAAAATGTCCAAATCATGTACCCAGCCATTTGTAAACTGGACATGTGCCTCCATTGACTTATAATTCTTGAACTGATTCGCGGTGTAAGCACTGACACCACAGACCAGGTATGTAAATATGTCTGGGAATGTCAAATGAGGTAAATGATCGGGGTTTCTGCTCCAATTTTTTATCTCAAACGGGTCGTTATGTCCAATTTTTGCTATTTTTTCCATGTAGCGTTTCTTGGCTTCTGGGAGAAGCTTTTCGCGATATAGCCCCCTTTGTTTAAAACTGCTTTTCAGCATTTTGGAAGAGGAGAATACAGCGCTAACACGACGAAAACGCCGAAAATGTTTTTTCTAGTCTGTGGACCCCTAATATGGCGCCGAGCGGCGAAAACGTCATATCCTGTGACGTCAACTCCAAAGCTCTATTGGACGGCAAGAAAGTAACACAAAAACAGTGTAACACACAAAAACAAAGCTTTCAACGGCACTTATATTTTACAAAACTAAAGAAAATATATTTTCTTACATACCCTTTTGAATAACTTTGGCTTATCTTAATGAGGAATCAACTTTGGATATGATTTTAATTTCAACACCACCAGCCGCAGCACTGTCTCTGTCGCTTTTCTCTGGTTGCGCCTCAGTCCGTATCCCCGGCTCCAACTTAATTAATTTTATTTTGCATTAAATAATAGAGATGCAAATAAATAGAAATAGACAGTTCTCAGATAAGATCGGAGGTGTATCTATAACTACTATAAATCTATCTATAAATATTTTCATAAAATAAGATTATGCAGTCCCTATGTTAAATTAATTCATGAACTTTATTTTAATCAAAAACAAAATAAAATAGAACAATATCACACCAAGATCCCCAGTAAACCTGTTTTTCAGTTGACTGCAGGCCCACAAACGTCCCCCTCAGCACGGCAGAGGTCCCAAGCGCCACCTGGTGGTCTTCCGGGTACATTGCAGTTCTTTTTGAAATAAAAAAACTGGCCTCAGGAAATACATCGTGATTCACACAGGAATCACACAGGAATCATGCAGGAAACCGTCCATTTCCAACCAGTGCCCACTGTAAGCGAATACAAGGTTCTGTTGGGATCTGGAGATTCTCCACCTTCTCCAGCAGAGTGCGGAGAAGGTGCACTCTCCTCCACACTCTGCAGGAGGAGAGTGCAGAGTGTGGTTCCTCCTGGGTTGGAGCCCTCCAGCACAGCTGACGCTCATCAGCTCATCAGGAGACCGGCCCTTATAAGCAGCTGCCAGACCTTGCTTCAACGCCGCAGTGTTAGCCAAGTTTGGTTAGCGAACCTGAGCCTCTGAATTTACTAATAGTTATCTTCTTAGAGAAACCTTATTCTAATTGCCTCTGTCTTCTCGCTCCTAGGAAACCAGTCTCTCGAGAGAAGCTCTGGATGAGCTTAACCTGAATCTGCCTGCCTGCCCTAGAGAGCCAAACCTGAAGACAACATTCTGGAATCCACCTGCTGCTCTTGGGAAAGAGCTAATCACTTCAACCAAGGTCTGTTCAATGGAAGTCAGAAGTAAGACGCTGCTGCTGCCTAAGCACTCTGCTGAACCAACAGTCTCTGGACCCAACCGGTTCCCTCTCTCAGAACTAACCTGGATCTCTTCAAGACGCCAGAGAATCCTGCCCGGACCAGAACCTGAATTTTGTCTAGGGCTGGGTACCGAACTTCGGTTCTTTTATGGTACCGACCGAAATGCTTCGGTTCTACAGGGTATCGAAACATGCCTCGTCTTTCGGTACCAAGTTTCAGTGATTGGCTGTAACACTTAACGTGATTGCGTCATCCAGGAAAAATACACAGGTGGTCACGCCTGCAGCCAGGGTTCATGTGTATCTGTTGTGAACTGGTTGCGAGCGTCGTGGAACCCCTTTAAAATGCCCCCCAGGTCAAAAGTGTGGCTTCACTTTATTAAGACTGAAGCCAATAGTGCGCAATGCAATACATCGTGCACGGAAACAATTTAAGAGCAGAAAGTTGCTCGGTGTTTGACTGCAAGAAGAGCGTACCGCAGCCGGTGCGACCATCCTCCTCTCAGCAGCCCGTGGGCAGAGCAAAGGCAGAGCGGAGGGAATCATG